TAAGTATCTGGCTTAAGAAGTTAAAAAAAGAACAATAATATAAATCCAAAGAAAGTAAAAAGTAAAGGAAAATAAATAATAAAGATAAGAGAGGAAATTAATAAAATGGAAAATAAACAGAGTTGAGAGGAATGAATGGAGACAATTAAGCCTCAGATTAAACAGATCATAGGAAGATATTAGGAATATCTTTATACCGATACATTTTTAAAACTTTGGTAAGGTGGATACAATTTCCATATGTAACTTAGAAAAGTTTACTCAAGAAGAAACATAAAATCCAAAAAGTATTCTTTTAATTAGTAAGGAAACTGAATCAAGAAGAAAAATCTTCCCACAAATACACTGCCAGATTTTTATGGGTTTACTGGTGAGTCCTACCAAACAAACATTCAAGAAACAAATACTCCAATCTACAAAGTACTCCAGAGTTTAGTAAAAGAAGGAACACTTCCAACTCAGAACCTGACAAGAAAAAGAAAGCTCTAAATTTATAAGACATTCTTAATCATGGATGAAAATGCAAAAATTCCAAATAAAACACAAACATTAGCAAATTGAATCCAATAATGTGTAAAAAGATAACACATCATGATCAAGTTAGGCTTACCCCAGAGTTTGAACCACTGTTTAATATTTAAAAATTGGCTAATGTGCTTTACTTCAGCAACGGATTAAAGGAGGAAAAAAAATCATATGCTTCTCTGAATGGATACAAAATAAGCATTTGATAAAAATCAGTATCCTCGTGGCTTAAAAAATAATCCTGGAATGGAAAGAAACTTTCATTACCTAGTAATAAACTATCTTTACAAATACAACAGTAAACATCATGCTTTTAATTGGGAAACTTTGAACACATTCAGTCCCTTTCAAATGGGGAGCAAGACAAGGGCACCCACCATCACTTCTACTCAGTGCTGTAGTGGGGAGTCCTGGCCAGTAGAGTAAGAAAAGGAAATGATGTATAGATCAGAAAAGAAGAAACAAAGCTATCATTATTTTCAGGAAATATATAATATATTTGATTAGAAACCCCCAAAAGAATGTTTAAATAAAGTATTGGCTTTTTAAGAGCATTTCCAAAATCAATTACATTTCTTTACATCACCAACAAACAGGTAGAACATGTGATTACAGAAAAGATACCCTTTACAGAGAACTAAAACACATACCTAGGAATGAAGCTAACAAAAGATATTTCAGACCTATTACTAAAGTACACATATAAAACCTATATATGTATTAGGAGGGACCAACGTGTTCCTGGATTAAAAGTCACTAAAGTTTAGTGAAGACGTCAGTTCTCCCTAAAATTGACTTATAGATTTGAAGGGGTATACTTGTTTATTTACTTATTTAATTTGACAAACTGATTTTGAAATTTATATGGAAGAGAATAAAAAAATCCAGCTCATCTGAAAGAAGAAAGATGAGAACAGGGAGCTGTGTGCAATTTGTTTTAACCAAATAACAAGAATTATTATCAAGCTAAAGTACTTAGGAGAATGTGGTGGTGCACAAAGAAAGCTAAAGCCGGTCTCCTGTGTCTAGGAAACGATTCATGACCAACCAAGAAGCATCGCAGTTCAAGGAGGAAAGTGTAGACTTTTCAATAAGCGATGTTAAGACGATTAGTTATCATAGAGGGAACAAATGAAATTAGATCTGTGCTTCACGCTGTATACAATGTCAGATTGATTAAAGACTTAAATATGCCTTTCATATTTAAAGGCAAAAATATGTCTTTGAGAAGACATTGGCATACACTGTCATTATGACCATAGTGTAAGGAAAGGATTTTTAAAATTAGACCCCAAAAGTGGAGACTGTAAAAGTTAAAAAATTGACAAATTTGCTTAAGAACTGCTAAGATGCCATAAAGATATTGTGGAGTTTTCATTTTCCCCTTTAGCCCTTGCCCATTAGAGATATATCCTGAAATATTTACGGGTGAAATGATATATTATCTTGGGTTTGCTTTGAAAGTACTCCAGGAAGAGAACATGGAGAGAGAGATGAAACAAATGGTAGAATGTTGATGATTATCAAAGCTAGATGATGGGGACATTGAAGTGTATTACAGTATTTTTGTGTTTGTGTATATACTTGAATTTTTTTATTTTAAAAAGGATATTGCTTTTTTTTTTTTCTTTTTAAAGAAGCCATCCCTTTTTAGGGTGACTTTCCTGGATTTTCTGGAAGTCTGAACATTTTTAAAAAATTGTTTTCTGAAAAGGTCACTTGTTAAGTGCATATCTAAATACAATCTAATTTTTATCCTGAATAGGACTTTCCTTATAAATTAATAAAGCATAAAACTCCTAAAAAAAAAAACCATAGAGAGTAAAAGAGCCAAGTTACAAACTAAGTGGAGATGTGTGTAATGCATAGAACCAAAAAATTAGCATCCAGATATTAAAGAAATTCTAAAATCAATGAGCAGTTTCTTAGATAGGACATCAAAAGCATAAGTGATAAAAGTAAAAAATAGACAAACTGGACATCAGAACTTTAAAATTTTGTGCTTCACAGGACACTGTCAAGGAAACAGCAACCCACAGAATGGGAGGAATTATTTACAAATCATGTATGTGACTAGGGACCTGTATCTAGAATATATAAAGAACTCCTACAATTCAATAATGAAAAAGACAACTCAAGTTTAAGGATGGACAAAGGATCTGAACAGACATTATGCCAAAGAAAATACACAGTGCCAATAAGTATATGAAAAGATTGTCAACCTCTTCAGTCACTGAGGAAATGCACATCAAAACCACACACAACAGATCCTCCTTCGCATCCACGTGGAGAAATCAGACCCTACACAGGCTGCTGGTGGTGATGCAAAATGGTGCACCTGCTGTTGAAAACAGTTTGGCAGTTCCTCAAATGGCTAAACATAGAGTTACCGTATCACCCAGCAATTAATTCCGCTTCTGGATCTATACCCAAGAGAAAGGAAAACGTGTTCAAACAAAAACTTGTCCATGAACGTTTGTAGCAGCAGTATTAAAAGCCAAGAGGTAGAAATAACCAAGATGTCCACAGCTGATAAATGGATAAATAAAATATGGAATGTATGCCCAGTGAATATTACTCAGCCATAAAAAGGAGTAATGATAATGTGCTACCATGGTGGATGACCCTTAAAAATACACTCAGTGAAAGATGCCGGGCACAGGGGCCACGTATCTTAGATTCTCTTTTTATAAAAAGTCCAGAATAGGCAGTTCCCCAGAGACAGAAAGTAGATTAGTGGTTGCCTAGGACTGGGGAGTGAGAGGTGTATGGGGTGATGGCTAAGAGGTACAGGGCTTCTTTGGGGGGTAATAAAAATGTTCTTTTCTTTTTTTTTTTGAGATAGAGTCTTCCTTTGTCACCCTCAGTAGAGTGCTCACAGCTGTCACAGCTCACAGCAATCTCCAGGCTCTTGGGCTTAGGTGATTCTCTTGCCTCAGCCTCCTGAGTAGCTGGGACTACAGGTGCCCGCCAGAATGCCTGGCTATTTTTGTTGTTGTTGCAGTTTGGCGGTGGCCAGGATGGAAGCTGCCACCCTCAGTATATGGGGCCAGAGCCCTACCCACTGAGCGACAGGCACTGCCCAATAAAAATGTTCTAAAATCGATTGTGGTGATGGATGCACAACTCTGAATATACTAAAGGCTTTGAATTGTATGCATTAAAGGAATGAATTGTATGATATGTGAATTATATCTCAACAAAGCTGTTTTTAAAATACATCAATAAAGAAATAATTCAATAGGAAAATAAGCAGAGGCATTCCACGCATTTCATAGAAGAAACATGTATGCACAGTGGATACTAGAAAAGGTGCTAATCAGAAAAATGCTAATTAAAACCTCAGTGGAGGGCGGCGCCTGTGGCTCAGTGAGTAGGGCGCCAGCCCTATATACTAAGGGTGGCGGGTTCAAACTTGGCCCCAGCCAAACTGCAACAAAAAATAGCCAGGCACTATGGCAGGCGCCTGTAGTCTCAGCTACTCGGGAGGCTGAGGCAAGAGAATTGCCTAAGCCCAAGAGCTGGAGGTTGCTGTGATTTGTGACACTACAGCACTCTACCAAAGGCAACGAACTGAGACTCTATCTCGTTAAAAAAAAAAAAAAAAACCTCAGTGGGATACCATCAAACCTACTTGACACACAAAAAATGTTAAATTCAGGCAATACCACTTCTGCACAGGTAGAGGATGTGGAGAAGAGAGGGAAACTCATCCATTGCCAGAGATGGTGTGAATGGTGCAGCCGCTCTGGAAGATAGGATGGCATTAGAGAGTTGAAGATGCAAGTACTTATGACCCAGCAATTTCCCTCCTGTGTGCATTCCCAAAGAAACTCACAGGAGCACTATGAGATTCAAACCCACATAACACAACTTATTATTTAGGGGTGTAAGTGTATGTAGCAATACGCCTGTTTTTAAAAAGCAAACAAGGCAAAGATAAACACAAAATTCAGGATAACGAGAAAGAACTGGGAGGGTCTAACAGGCATTCAGGGTAATGTTCCTTTTCTTAACCTGGGTGGTGGGTATGTCAGTATGGGGATTGAGGGGTTGGGTAGAAGGCCAAGTATTATCTGACAACCTGTCATTGAGGGGAGATGGAGAAAACGCCAAAAAGTGTACAAAGAACAGGTTTAAAAATGCTGATCATGCTGACCCTGAATTTCTTGGGAAAAAAAAACATATTTAGCATCTTCTATTTGTGAAGCAAAAGAGATAAAATGTTTTTATCCAAGAAAAAGTAAAAAGGAAACTAAGAGAACTACACCAAAGCAGCAGCAGCAGAACAGGAGTGTTTTAGCAAGTTTTCCCACAAAAGTGGTGACCATTAGGAGCTTTGTGCTTGGAGGTGAACTCCATTTATTCGGGCCACCACTTCTTTAGTCTTCAGTGATGTTAAGTATACCAGACGTTGTATGTAAAGCCACGCGCTCTCATTTTAGTCACTGAGTGGTTGACTTTCTCTTTTTCAGATCCTGCTCACACTAAAAGATGAGCCACAGACACATGCAGGAGGAACCTATTCGCCACTCCCGATGCGTGCCTGGGGTGAAGCATCCACCAGCACTGCGAGGGGGTCCATAGTATTTTGTTGGCTGCCTCAGAGTCCCCAAAGCCTTCAAGCAGACATGGCAGTAGATGGCTGCCAATCAGCCAATCCAGACTTTTCTTGGGACAACAGGAAAACAGATCCTCCAGGTTTTGATGGAGCTGGGAAGTCGGGACATGCAGCTGATGCATTATTACCCCATCAGAGCACATATGTATCTTTTACCTTCCCTTCCCCCCACCTGCGTAGGTCTCCTCTGTCCTCTTCCTGCTGCTGCACAGAGATGATATAAAAGAGGCTCTTTGGCTATTTGCATTTTGCTTCCTCTTCTTTTCCAGATTGCCTATTCAACAATATTGTCTTTGTTCAAGCTTAACCCCCAACATCATCATCTACCAAAGTTGTTCTTCCCTTTTCAGAGGGTACTGGGGGAGGGAAGAGCATGCGTCACAAGTCTCCCAGAAGGGAGGAGACAAGTCGGTGTGCTGCAGACCACATGAGCCAGGGTAAGGGCACCCTTTCAAATTACTGGTTTCTAAGATTAATAAAGTAATTCTATTTCTATTTTCTTTTTTTCCATTTGCTAATTTCCCAACAATCAGCATTCACAAACAGCATTCACAAAAAGCAAATTTCCATTTGCTAATTTCCCAACAATCAGCATTCACAAAAAGACTGAAATGGAACCAACTTTTCATTTTATTTTATTGCTGGGCAATTTTTAAACTTCATTTTAGAAATAGGAGCTATAAAGCAATGTTTTATTTTTACATTTTGTTTTAGCAGATGGTGGGGCCAAGGGTAGCACCTGTGCTGGGAAGCTGGTGCGTTCAGATGTCTCCATTCCCGCCCACAGCAGGCAGGCTCACCCACAGTGTGGCCCTCTGGTGGCATGTGCCTCTGTACCCAGTTGCACATTGCTCACCCAACAGTCCATCTGAGCTCTACAGCACAACCCGCCCCCTCTTGCGCTGTCCTGGGCCCACTGCCCTTGCTTGCTCACCTTTCCTCAGTCTCCTTTCTGGTGTCTACTAGAGGAAAGTTTGAAAGTTGGGCTGCAGAGCCCACTGTAGGATTCACTTAGCTGCCTTAGGGAGTTTCTGGGGGAGAATCCAGAATCTGAGACTTCTACAACAGGGTCCTGTAGACTTTCTTGGGATTGAAATCCCAAGAGAAAATGGACACCCAGCAGGGCAGGAAAGGGACTTTGTTGCCTTCTTAGTGAATGAACACAAAGGTTTGGGCACTTGGAAGCATTTTGTTTGCTTGTGAAGGATGAAGTCTGTTGATTGCAGGAAAGAAGTGAGAATGTATTCCAGATGTCCCCAGAACTTTTCTGGTTAGTGGTTTGAGGACCATCTCGACCATTTACTCACTTGGTTATGAGCCGATTAAGAGACAAAGTTAGAATTCCTCATTCCGTATGAATCTTATGATAAAGGGTAAGAGGGTATGAGCCCAGTGAAATAACTTTTAGATCAACCATAGTCTCGCAATTGCCCTGGGCAACCGATCAAAATTAAATTCTCAAGCTAATTTCTTACTGCACTCACCATGTGCTGATCAGCTCTCTTCTTTCACATATCCAAGAACTTTCAAGTCATTTTTACTGTTACTGGACTTTTTTTGGTAATTAACCAGACAGATCAGATGAGCCCTCCTCTAACAGAGGTGACAGCTCCAGGTTACTCTTTACTCTCCCCTGAAATAAGTGCATACTTTTGAAGATGAACAGTGGTTCCTGTTTCTGTGGGGTCTGTCAGATGTGGGATGGGAGGCTGGACTCTAGGCCTCTGTCCACATTTGTATCTGCTGCTTAACCTAAGAGTAGAGCTATGACATAAACAGAACATTCGGAACCATAGTGTGTTCCGTTTTCTTTGGGATACTTCAGGAAATACATCTAGTTGCCTTGGTTCATTGGTGATGTCTTGGGAAGGTAGACAAAAGGGAGGTGTAGCCTAGGGCCAGAAAAATGATTTCTCTCTTCCTTACTGAAACATCAAGTAAGGACCAGCAACGTCAGATACAACGCACTGCTTCTCAAAATGTAGTTTCTAGGCAACCTGGACCCTACCCCTACCCCCATCCTAAAGTTATCTCTAGAGCTATAGCCTGAAATTGTACATTTTAAAGGCTGGTTCTCATGCCCAGTGAAGTTTGAAGGGCTGCCACAAGGGAACAGACTCTGACATAGAACAGACTCAGAAACAGCCAAGGCTGATGTGACAAGTGTATCCCCTCTCTATACCCAGTGGCTCCCTGTGGCAAGATGGAGCTAATCTCACCAGCCAGGATTTTAGAACAAGGACATAGCTGCTGAAGGACAGTGGAAGTGGCACATGGGAGCACGGGTTGGGCATGGATAAAGCAGGGAAAAAGTCTTGCTGACCAAACTCAGGAGGTCAGCAAGAGAACTGCTTCAGGAGTTCTCAGAGAACTCCAGAAGAAAAAGGTACACACCTACCTGTACACACACACAGAGACGTGGACATACGCATGTATGCAGCTGTAGATTTTAGCGTCAGATAGACTTCCCTTCCCAGTGGTTAAGTGACCTCACTAGAGGAATGTGTTTCTCAGGAGCCACTAAGTAGCCCCTGGCTCTTGCTTGCTCATTGCAGATGGCTTCCTTACTGTGGGATCCCGGCCCCAAAAGAGAACTATGGGATTCTGCTTTTCTTACCCTCTCCCACTCCCAAATCCCTGACAGGCCCATCGTCTGGAAGGGGTTCTTGCTTAGGCCATCTGCCATGGATGGTTTCTCTAATTCTCAACTGATACAGGCAGTGAGAGGAGATACTCAGAAATGGTGCGATGTTAGTCATTTATAGTTGAGGTACAAGCCACATTTCCAAATGCAAAGGTTCACACCAAGGGATTATGGCTGCAGTTACCTGCGGGCTACGTGTATGTGCCTTGCAAGTCTGAGCTGCTGTTCCGGTGTCTCAGAGAACCAGACTGTGGCAGGAGGAAGGGAGCACACACAGCAGCCCAGACTTCTCAGAGGCCAAGGGCAGCAGCCTGCGCACTGTGGAGGCCCCTCACTCTAAGCAACATATTTGATGACTGAGAGATTCTCTGCCCCAGATTCCAGTTAGCTCTGATGAGTACGTGCCGACATGGAATTAAGAAAAGGATAATTAAGGATATTTATCGAGTCATACACCTTAGAATAAGGCTTTTACTGTTCCAGAAACAATCTTCCAGAAGACGAAATCATCCAAGATTCCCCAACAGTATTTATTTATACAGAGATTTTGAGAGTAATATTTGTATGTGTCTTCATACCTCAGTCTATGCGTCTGGGCCAAGTCATTGTGTGGCACATGCGCAGCTTCCCCGAACGCCTCACGGATTGTAGCACCTGCTTCCAGGAACACCAAATGAACACAGGGTCTTGGGGGGAAGCGGGAGAACCCATAATGCCCGAGGCTGCATGGACCCACAATCCAGACATGTGCACCCTGACCTGGAAGGCGTCTAGCCAGATGTCCAGGGGAATAAGATTGGGGAGGAAGGTGAGAGGAGGGACCCAGAGGGCAGACAGGAGAGTGTTAATTCTCACCCTTTGCTTCTGAGTTCAGAATATCCATAAGGCCTAATATAGTTGATGGCCCTGGAACTACATTACCTGGATTTTCTCCCTATGGTGACCCACAATGCTATTGATGTAGAGAGGACAATTTGCAAAAATGACAAGATTTGCCCTTAATCCCAGGTACCCCAAGATATCTTGGTAACTTTTCTGGAGGAAAAAAAAAAATGCTTGCCTGTATAACATAATCCAGATTCCCACAGCAAATGTGGCACAGCAATGAGCATATCTGACCTCAGATCCCAAGTGTCTTCCAGTCTGGCCCCAACCTGGCCATTCTCTGCCCTTCCTCCTCCCTAGGTAGCCCAAATCCCATTGCCACACGACGTGTCGACTTGCCATCCCTTTTCCTCTACACCCACCACTTCTGTCTGTATCACAGAAAATCTGTGAGTTCTGAAGAGTTCGGCCTTCCCCTAACCAAACACACACTTTCTTTACCACAGTGATTCTCAGAGCCAGCAAGAAAGAGAAATGTCCCAGAAGGAGACCTCCATCTCAGCCATTCGCCCAGAGCCAGAGTGTGGGCTCCAGGCCTCTGGGTGAGGTCTGTTGCTTTTGTGTTTCCCGAGGAGCGGGCAGTCAGGCGCGGCAGTTCTCTCTCCTCTCTCTCTCTCTCTCTTTCTCTCTCTGTCGCAGGTGGGGTCTCAGCTACACTTACAAGACTTCACCACCATGTTGGAGAGCTGCTCCACCTTGGGGGTCCTCCCGACATAGTACAGGATGGTCAGGGGCTCCAAGTCCTGGGGCACACAGCAAGGCGAGGCAGATGCTTCAGGGTTCAAGGTGTTGTACAGTCCCAGCACCTGAGGAGGGACACATCATTTAGAGGCTGGAAAGCCAAGCTCAGGCCTGGAGCCCAGGAATCCTACAAGTTGTAGGGGCTGCCCTAGTGACAGAGCCAGTGGTGGAATGGCCGCTGACGCTACTGAAGAAGCACTGAGAACAGTCTGGTGAGCGCTGAGCTGTTGTTCATCCACAATGACAGTGCAGAACAGCTGCACTTGTTTGAGGGTTCCCAGTTGAAACATGTAACAATTACTGGGGAACTTTAAATTGATAATGAAATTCTCTTGGCTATTAAGAACAACTCCTATGTTGGTCTTCCTAGCTATCCCCACAACTGATCACTTCAGTGAGAAATGTTCATTGCCTTGGGCCATTTCCTAAGTGCCAGAGTGCAGGGCCCCAGACAGGATGCTGTAATAATCAGCTACAATGAAATAGGCTTCACAAATTACTGCCCTATTTCTGATTCCCCTTGAGGGAAAGACAAGCTAGTTTCAGAGGTGGACTCTTACTTCTCTTCCCAGCTTTTCATAGTGGCGTCTTCTACAAGCTTTTTGTTGTCTTCCAAAATAAGGGTTGTTTTGTTTTTGTTTTCTGAGACAGTCTCTGTCACCCTGGGTAGAGTGTTGTGGCATCATAGTTCACAGCACCTCAAACTCTTGGGCTTGAGAAACCCCCTTGCCTCAGCCTCCCAAGTAGGTGGGACTATTCGCAGCTGCCACTATGCCCTGTTAATTTTTCTATTTTCGGTAGAGACTGAGGTCTCGCTCTTGTTCAGGCTGGTCTTGAATTCCTGAGCTCAAGCAATCCACCCTCCTCAGTCTCCTAGAGTGCTAAGATTACAGGTGTGAGCCACTGTGCCTGGCTCAGAGTAAGTTTTCTACATTGAAGAGGCTGGAATAATCGAAGTTCTTTTACTAAGGGTAGAAGCCTTTCTACCCCAACCTTGCTTGCCAACCAAGTTGCACACATCTCTGACATACACGGTGGCATGTGACAATTTCCATGATACAAAAATCTTTAAGCAAATTAAAGGTCTGGTTGAAACTATGGGAGAAATTTAAAGGGCAGAATGTGACCACAGAGAATGGCATCAAGATCCCCAAATCAGAACCTTTATCAGAGGGATTTTACTCACCCCAGACCATTATTTGTTCAACATTTAATCCTTCATTTCATTCTTAACAAGTGGCCTGGTTGGCCCTGCCCCATCCCCGGATGGCATGAGCCCTGCTGCGTACCGTGCTGTGGGTCGTGTCTGCACTGCGGAGGTACGGGCAAGGGCCTGAGCAGAAGTTGGCATAGTAGCCCTTAGGTTCATGGACCCATTTCCAGCCTAGATCCTGCCGGAAGTCAATGTAGAGGGGGCGCACACAGCAATTCTCCTCCAGGTTGCTACAATGAAAACAGAAAATCAACTTAAAAAAGAAACCACCAATAAAAGAAACTTTACAATGCCCTCACATATGTCCCCTTGGAGTTCTTCCATGCCATCATAGGAGGTGGCTCTAATTAATGGAATCCCAGGTTCAAGGCAGGGGCTGAAGAAACCAGAAAGGCATTTTCCTGGAAGACCAGGATCTAGGAACGTAATAAGGAGGTACAGGTGCTGCATGAGGGGCAGTGAAGAGGCATGGTGGCCCTGCCCCCTTTTTTTCACGTCACAAACAAAAACAGACACAAAGTGCCACACATAAAACACTATGTTACAAGCCAGCTGGGTTCTCTTCAGGCTGGTTCCTAACTGCCTCCAGCTAAAAATAAACTCTCAGTTTATGCAGCTTGTATACCACAGTAGATGGCAGCTTAGACTAGATCTGGAGGCCATTTGCCCAAACAAGACATATCCTCTTATTGGAACTGATTCCCATATCACCTTCCACTTTGTTGCCTGCAGATATCCACTTGGCAATGCTTTTCCAAGTAGGCATCTGGCCTCTGTTTCAGTATCTGCTAAGCCCTAGAACTTGCCACTTCCAAAGGCAGCTCCTGGCTAAAATCCGGCTTCTTGTGGGTGAACCACAGCAGACACTCCTGAGCTAGTCTATAACCATTCCTAACCCCTTTGTCTTCTGCTGCTTGACAGAGTCTGGAACACCAGATATTCATTTTTCCCTGTCTTCCCTCCTGGGTAGGGGTGGTATTAGGACCCCATAATGAGTGACCAAGAGATAAGGGGACATACGCAGGGGGTACAGACAAGTTCTGGCAAAGATTTTGATCATTTATAAAAGTAATAGATGGAAGAGGAAAGCTGCTCGCTCCTTGCCTCCACTCCTTCTTCTTGTTTAAACATGGACAAGATACCTGGAGCTCTAGCAATCACCTGTGACCAGAAGCAGGCATGTGAAAAGCCAGCCTACTAAGCGCAGCAGATTGGGAAGCAAGAAAGCCTGAGTCCTCAGTGGTAGAACTAAGCAGCCACCCACCCCTGAGCATGCTGCTGTGGACCTCTTGTGAGCAAAATCCCCCAAAGGTTAAGTCACTGTCACTTGCAGTCAAGAACATTCATCCCTAAGTGACAGACAGATAGAACCTCAGTCCTCATAGGACATGGTTTCCAGATTTGAGATCGCCTGATGCATCCTCCCCACATGCACTCCTTCTACCTGAAATGTTGCTCCTCCTGGATCCCTACATCCCCAAACCACACTCATCCCCGAAGCCTCCGCTCTAATTCCACACCCTTCTGAAGCCTTTCCTGTGTCCACGGATGAACTCCTTGCTCCTCATTCTAAAGCACTGCTCCTTCAAACCCTCTCATGGATGTGATCATTTCCACCTGTAGTAATTGGCACACATGCTTTACCGTCCCTCCCTTACAGATGAGCAGTGAAATTGCTCCTAAATCAGTGAAGAAGCTGTGTCTTTGCTCTCTCTCTATCATGGCTACTCAACTATTTCTGAACTAGTAAAGTTTGCCAGCTCAGATTTCCCCTGCAAACTGCTATTTTCTCCCCCTCCAGTAGCATCCTTGGACCCTTCACAGTGGAGCGAGCACTTCTTTAATGGAAACTCCTGTTATCAATCTCTCCCTCTCACACACACCCTACAAGTACATAAAACATGATAACCACAGAATTCAGTCAAGCGCTTCCAATCCAAACTATTTCAGCAACACTCTCCTCCTCGTAGTCTTCCTCATTTACCTCATCTAAGCCCAGACAGAGTTGGGCTGCAGAAAAACAATGTGACTACCAGGGAAACAGAAAGAGATCTGTAAGATTTTCAATCTTCTTTCCTGGAGATGTTTGTGAAGAGCATCAGGGACCCTCTGCTGAGTGGGGCTCAGGTCGGGGCCTGACCCAAGCACACAGTCGGTGTCGGTTTCCGTGGGGGGCCTAGGCTCACCGGAAGCAGTAATTGGTGTCCAGGGCCCGCTTCTTTCTCTGGCCCCCTTGGCCCGGGCTGTCAAGCCGGTGTGGGGGAATCATCATGAGGATGAGATGAGGGCTGTGGTGGTCCTTCTGCTTCTTGAGGCGCCCCAGATCGCCACGGCCATGATCATCCTCATTGTCCACACCTGCAGAAGGGAAGGCAGTCAGTGATCTCCTGTCTAAGGGAAGCAGAGGCTCCTCCCATCACTGCCCAGGAAAGCAAGAGGGGCAAGTGCAGCATTTCACTGCAATGTCGAGGTTGGGGAAGCAGCACAGAAAGGCTCATCACTGTTGTAAGGATGCCACTGGAAGAGGCCCACGTTCTCACCCTCTTAGAACTCCTGCAGGGAAATCTCCCAAAGGGCAGAAAGCCCTTCTGAGATGCTTCCCAGGAACCTTCACAGATCACAAAGCATCCCTATGCCTCGGCAGTACCTAACACATACCCTTGGATAGTCAGTTTAGATTCTAGAATAGAATCTTAGGGTTTGAGTTTCCTTTTTTACCTTGAATTGCTCAAGATAGCACAGAAATCCTACTGATAATTTAAAGTATCACAACTCAGGGAGCCAAAACAACAAGACTCTTTTGGGTGCCAGGGACAGCAGGAGCATCACATGAACCCAGGAGGCTGCAGTGAGCTGTGACAATGCCACTGCACTCCACCCTGGGTGACAGAGTGATACTCTACCTCTTAAAAAAAAAAAAGACTCTGAATAATTGGTAGCATTCACATTGCAGTCATAGTTTTTGAAGTGTTTTCACTATGAAATTCAGATGAGATAATGGAGCATAATATGACAAATAGCTCAGCTACTGTTGACAGCCCAGGCCAGGGAGGCCAGAAAAGAAGAGGGCCCTGGACACCAATTACTGCTTCAAACAAACTCTAGAAAGAAACTGAAACAGCCCATGCAGGATAAGAGGGCTGCTGAGTGCAGGCAGCCACAAGGGGCCTGCACCTTTCCCAGACAAGCCTCTGACCTCAGGTGTCCCTTAATTACTCAAAATGGGAATCTGTTTTCCAGGATATCTCCATTGGGCTGAAAGAATAAACTCCAGATCATCAAGACAGATTTCCTTGGAAATATACTGGAAAACCAGGAATGACTCTCAATTATTTCACCCTCTCTCTGCGAACACTTGTGTATAAATACCCTGAGCCTCGAAGCAATCATCCAAACCCAGATATTCCCAGGCAAGAATCAGGCAGGCCCCCCCACATCTGGAAAGTTCACCCATGTTCAGGGTGGCCAAGATCTCTTTTAGGGAAGGCAAAGACAACTCTTTGTTGAGCATTTCTGGCACTGTGTTTTCTAATTTTTCTCTCACCAGAATGCACACTCGTCCCCACTTCACAGGGCTTAGAGCGGCCAACCAGCTTGCCTACATGACCCACTGCTTTGACCAGATGCCAACACATCCTTTACAGCCATAGCTGAAAGTCATGCTCACTGCTTGTGGGGCAAAGCAGAAACACTCAAGTACAAAACAGTTGGCCTTCTCTGTGAAGGAAGCAAAGCAGCTTTTCTCCTTTACGTGGGGTCTGACAGGGGTGTTGTCTTCTGTCCTGTCCCATTAGCTCCCCTACCATCCTACCATACTCATTCATTTTGTTACCTTTGAATTTGATTTCCATCACCTCATGGATGTTTTCCAGGATATCTCCATTGGGCTGAAAGGTGTGACATGGACAGTGAATGCTGATTTCCAAACCTAAGTTGGACTCTGCAAAATAAGACACAGAGTTGGTGAGAAAAGCACTTCCGTGGGATGGGGATGGATGCCCACCACCCATGCGAGGTGGACCAGACCTCAGCTCCCAAGGGCACTCACAGGAACTGAGTTAGTATTACCCAATATGAGGGTCAGAGGACACAGAAAGTGCCTCCAAAGCTCAGAGTGGACTTTCATATACATGTATTTGTGTACATGTACATATTCCATGTATTTGTGTTACCCCATGAAGGACCCAATGGGGACATGAACTAATGATAGCACAAAAAAGAACTGGAATAATCATCCACTTACAAAGGATGGTGTTAAGAGAAATTGTCACCTACCTACTTGGGGGAAAATGGACAAGAGTACAGGAAGGAAAGAAAAAACTGATACCACCTAAGTGTTAGTTGGGAGAGGAGATATTTGAGCCAACCTACAGAGGAAGGATGAAAGGAAGAGACAGAGGAAGGGGAGGGGACCAAGGAGAAGGAGTAACCAGAGAATGTTAGAGGCCATGTGTGGTGACTCATACTTGAATCTTAGAACTTTGGGAGACCAAGGTGGGAGGATTATATGAGGCTAGGAGTTCGAGAGCAGCCTTAGCAACACAGCAAGACCCTGTCTCTACAAAAACAATTTCTTTAAAAAGTTAGCCAGGTGTAGTGGCACATTCCCATGGTCCCAGCTACTTGGAAGGCTGAAGCAGGAGGATCATTTGAGCCCGGGAGTTAATGAGATAGTAATTCAAAAGGCCACAAATTCAAAGGTCCACAAAATGAAAGGCTGGGCAATAGGACTGAAAGTCAGAAATCAATGCTAGAGGCAAGGTCATCTGTAAATAAGCAGCAGAATCAGTAAAATATGCAAGCATATCCACCAGGGCTATGATGGTAGATACAGAGAAAGTGGAAGATTCCAGAGGAGACAAGGTGAACCACCTTGATTACACTTGGCAGTATTTCTCCTAAGGAACAAGGATATAATGAGGTGAAAATTACTCAGCTGTTTCTCCTTTGGAAACCCTTATTCACTGTGATGGCAGGTTGGAATGTAGATCACTCACCAAGATGAGTAGCTCAAGATGGAAGCTGTGAACTTAAAAAACAGACCAGAGATGACAGAGGGCCATGGCCCAGGGACCAGATGACATGAACTCAGAGAGAATGAGCCTGATGAAGCCTGGAGGTGTCAGGGTTTAGTGACTGACATTTCAGTGCATGAAGGCCAACTCTGGCCCTTTCTCCTAGTAGTTGTGGGATCATGTGTTTTCACAGCCAAAATCAAGGAGGCAGGGAAATTGATAAGTGGGGTGGAGTGGAGAAAAAAAGGAAAAATTAAAAGTAAATGAAAAGTTTCTACTGAATCAAGCAGTTTTATGCAGAGAATACCAGGTAGAATCTGGTATCGTGCCAATTCTAGTATCACATCTGGGTAGGACTGAATTAGGGAGGCTCTATGGCCAGGTATAGAAGAGGTAGTAGGGGATGGACACCCCTGGGTTCAGAGTCAGCCTCTTAGTGAACTGATTGACTTACTGCTCCCTGAAACCACACACAATGTATGTGAGTATCTGGCCTTGGGGCCAACCTGGGGTCTTCCTGAAATCTGGTGTCATCAGAGAAAACCCCAAAGAGTCCAGCCTAGCTCAGTACCCTTCTCATGGGCAGAATGGTACAAGCCCAGAGATTACAGTCACCCTTAGGTAAGCCTGGATATCTTAGTCCTACTAGCTAAAAGCCAGCTCCCTGGCTCGGCGCCTATAGCTCAACCGGCTAAGGCACTAGCCACGTACACCTAAGGTGGCGGGTTCAAATCCCCAGCCC